GTTTTTGGCTTCTCATGTCTCTTGGGCATGTCAAAAGTGTCAACAGTCACAGGGATGAGGCGGGCACCCCCAAAACGCCAAAAACCAAAAAAATAAGGAAAAAAAAACCAAAAAAATAGGGAAAACAAAAACATGGCTCCTGTAGGAGCCTCATGTTTAGTCTTCTGGGGAAATCATCGTGCCTCTTCGCCATCAGGAGTTCATACTGGAATCATGGGACATTCGAGCCTGGAGAGGCCGCCTAATCAGATGAAGCTGGGTTGCCTGGGACTCCCTTGAACCTTTCGATCCTTTGGTTGGTGAGGCGCGGCGGGGCCTGGTGGTGGGGTTCGTATAGCATCCCAAGCACCTTGTGGCGTTTCTCGCATACTTTTGCCGAACCATTCACCTCGAGAATCGCAGGAGTGCAGGCGGAGCAAGAAGTGCTATCTTAGCAATTAGACAGTAGTTCGAATCATGAGACTTCTCTGAGGCTTTTGGCTTCTGAGCGCGTGTCTACACAGGAAGCAATTGAGCGGCCAGGATCCTGGATCACGAAGCCCTGGTTCAGGGAGTACTGCTACCACAACCATATTGTGAATATTGTTATTTCTACTGCGAGTAATAGGTCGCAGGGTTTGTTTCATGCGCACTTTCCATCTGCCCACTGGATCTCGGTGTCCTTACTCTATAGTAAAAATGTAGTATTACTGTTTCTCAAAACTGATGAGGGTTGTGGGCCTGTCCAAGCGAGAAGCTGCCTCACCCTAAGGGCAAAGGCGGGACACCCAAACGTCAAAATGCACCCGACTCTGTGCCCATTGCACATCGACGTCCTAGATCTCAAGCAATAAATCCTAAATCCCAAGCCCTACCCTTTTACCCTTAAGAGTTGAAAGCCAAGGCCTTGCATCTCGCAACCTCAAAGCCTGAAGTCCCAAACCTATAATCCCCCTTAAGCAGATAGAGTATGATCCCCCTTAAGCAGATAGAGTATGGGGTTTATGGGGGCTTATACTGATATTGAGTAATTCCATGTTCTATCTACTTAAGGGGGCTATAAGCCCAGAGCCTTACTCACTTCTCAACCCTTCCAAAGGCACTTGGCGGCGGCTGCTGATGCGCAACGTCAAGCGGAAGAGGCCGGGTGAAAAGGCCGTACATGCATCCTGTTTCGTCGGTTGTGGAGTATTACTGGGTCCATGTTGGGGATCGTTTATATGTGTTGGCTGGGGACATTTCTCAGTGTAAGGTCGCGCTTTGCACTGTTGGTGTATGGGTTGCCCTCCATTGCCACAAGTCTTTCCAAAAGAAATAGGGATCAAGATCACGAATGCTTTGCTTTTGCTTAAGACACACTATTTGGCTCATACGCCGGGGGGGCATAATCTTGAAAATCGCCCATGCGCGGTGCTGCAGTATCCAAAGGAACTAATGTGGCAAGTCATTCAACAAATTATGACCAAAGTGCGAATATTTCAATTTGGGCAAGTAATGAAGTTTTCAGAGCTTTGGGCAGTGTTTGCCGAGGGCCCAGCAGTTGCCGCACAATTCCCTGAGGGCTTCAAAGGACACATGTGTGCTAATGCAAAAAAAAGATGATTGAAGCGATGGCTCCTAACTTATCTTATTGCACCAAAGCACTGCCCACAGTCCTAAACCAGGATACAGTGCTCAGGGTCGTCGAGAGCTACCTTCCAAGTCCTGCAGAGTGAGGCTCCTCAACTCTGAGCATCCAACCTTGAATCTCCAAATCCCAGCACACCAGGCGCCAGAGACCCGAACCCTAAGACCCTGAAATTCGTTCAGCCCCAGCCTGCCGATCGCTTAGCCTGAGAACATACCCAGCATGTTAGGGTCACTTCAGAACAGCTACACCCGATATAAAAGTCCCACCCCACCCTCACCCCCCTGCCCCGCCTATGTGTGTATATACATATACTATATGTATATATGTGTATATACTTATGCTTTAATATCCACATCCCAGCTCGCCCCACCCCCCAATAAGGCCTCTGAGACATCCCCAATAAACCCTAAACCCTAAATAGTAGTTTCCATTTTCTTTTCCATTATCCCTATAAAACCCCTATATAGTTTCCATTTTCTTTTGAATCCCCAACCCTGAAGCCTCAGGCGGCCGTGGAGGCGGAAGAAGCTGCCGCAGAGGCTGAGGAGCAGAGGGTCACCGGGCAGCAAGTTGCCGATGCACGGATAAATTGTTTAGGCTTATGGAAACTACTATGTAGGGGTTATATAGGGATGATGGAAAAGGAAATGGAAACTACTGTGTATAATATGGATAGGGATTCGGTTTAGGGTTGCGAGTTTCAGGTTTAGAGTTTAGAGTTCAAGGCTTACAGCCCAGGAAGGGTGGGGGGGGGTGGGGAGGGTGCGGGAGTCTTGGAGAAAGTCATTGTAAAGAGCGGTGGGGAGGCTGCGCAGACTATATTCTGAGGGGTATTCATGATGGGTGTGGCAGTTGGGTTTTGAGATTTGCAGCCGATGTAGGGGCTCCTGGGGGTTTCAAGCAGGAAGTGCATGGACAATATAGGGCTTCGTAAGATCAGTGCCACGAAGCAATGCCACAAATCGTGAATCTCAGGACACCTTTGTTCCAGCAGTAAGGGTAGGCTTAGTAGCAACACAGCAGCGGAGTTGAGTGACAGTCATAAAATCATTCCTATCAAATCTGTGTGCTGGGTCTCGTGTGCGTGTAGTCATGATTGTTTTGGGTGTGGTGTTTGTATTCTTACACTCACTTGGTTATCCCAAAGCAGATTTCGTATGCTTGTTCTGATGTGTAGTGATTGCAGTCGTTCCGACTTACAGGGTCCTGCTCCTCGTTTTCACTCTGATTAGTTTACTACTTTTGCAGATTAGTCAGCATCATCATTGTCATCATGAGCGTCATCATGGTCACTACTGTTATTGCTCAGGAGACCCATGTTGGCCCCAATACTGTCTAGTCCATGATGGCAAGCACAGTCAGCCCTCTCTGAAGATAGGTCCAGATCAGCAGCTGCCACAAGAGTAGTTACCAAAATTAGGGTCCCATTTTGGTGCCCTTGAATATTAGGTGCTCATAATATCATCTACAGCCGAAATGGGCCCATAGTTTTGAGAATAACCCACCACTATCAGATCGGGCTTGGAAGTTCAAAGGCCTCAAGGGTAGCTCCAAGCGAAGATGTCTAGAGAAGGATACGTATTGTTACATCAAACAGTAGGGCACCTACAAGATCGCCTGTACTTACCCATGAGCCTCCAAAAAGGGCAGATATGTCTCCCTCACGCTCTAAACCCTCGAACCCCAAACCCTGAAAGCCCTGAATCCTAAAGCCCTCAAGCCTAACTCTAAGTCCTGCGCCAACCCGACAAAGCTCAACCAACGCTAACCTCGCTGCAAGCCTCGCTGAGGCGAAAGCTTTGAAGGAATCATCGGAAGCCTATGCAGCAGCAAAAGGCATCGGTTCCTCCTGAGTTTGGGGTTTAGGGATTACGTTGAGGGTGCGGATGGGGGTTAAGGATACTGTTTTATGGGGATCTACTTTTAGGGCTCACCGATACCCGATACCAACATGGTACTCCCTCAAGGGCTCTGCAAAGACCACGCTGTCCTTTCACAATGAAGCCTGAATTAGCAGTATTGTTGCAGGCCTGGTAGAACTACAGTATATTTTCCTTGCTTTCAAAGTCATATTCTGTATGGTTTTCCACTCGGGCTCAATACTCAAACAGAGGAGCCCATGAAATCACGCCTGGGGGTCTGTCAGGGTGTCAGAGAAACGGAGCACCAAATGCAAAAGAGCGTGCAAACTGAAATGGAAGCTGCGCGTATGTAGGAGTGAATAGGGGATGTAAATAGTGGCCGTCCCCTTTTGTGTATGTCTTACAATGCGTCCCCCAATTTTCAGGGTAACCTTAAAGAGACCACAGTTTTGAAACCCTTCATACAATGTAGACTTTTGCCAAAAGGAACGGATGGTAATCTACGAAGGGCCGATTGTGAGGTTCCATGTGAGTTTGGGGGCACGTAGGCCCTAGACCTTAAACCCTAGACCATAAATCTCCAAAATGGGGATGGCGCAAGGGGCGTTCAGGTGAAGAACACAAAAAACAGCAAGGGCTTGATCTCCACTTCTGGGTGCACGGGTAGCCATACAAGTAGGGATAAATGAAGCTTTCCCCAGAACTACTCTACAACCAGGTAGAAAGATAGTCATGCTACTTCTAGCCCACTTAGAATTACCCTAAACCTTAAACCCTAAACCTTAATTACTCATAACATCCATACAATCTTTCTTCCTGCTCATCCTATGGCTGATTTCGTAGTTCCTCAGCCTGAAGCAGAACATCCGTGAGCGCTGTGAATTGCGGCCTACGCAACTTGAACCCCCAACCCAGGCCCGGCACAGGTGAGAGAGCGGAAGGTACAGTGTGTTATAGCGGCTTAGGTAATTAGTATGGCTCCTTGCTCTTTCTATGAGTATTGTAATGGGTAGTTATTTAGGCCCCTACAGTACTCTTGCGTTTCTTCTCCGTAGCGTTGATGATGTCATACTTGCAAGAATACACCAATATACTACGTAGTAGTTTCTCTTTTCCATTATCCCTATATATACCCCCATATAATCCCTGTAATAATATAGTAGTTTCCATTCTATGTTCCAGTATCCCTATATAAACCCCAATATATACCCTATAATCCCTATATAACCCCTAAACAGTAGTTTCCATTCTCTTGTCCATTATCCAACCCTAAACCCTAAACCCAAAACCCTAAACCCTATATAACCCCACTAGGGCTGGTGCAGGCGACGCGGCCGCTCGTCTTTCCCAAGCTCAGAGCCAACGCCGGGACACGGAGCCGGGAGCTCGGCGAGCCTTTGGTTTGTGGGTTTCGGAGTGATGACAGGGTTACTAGGGTTTAGGGTTTAGGGGGGGTTTAGGGTTTAGGGGTTCAGGGTTTAGGGTTGGAGGGTCATGGGTGGTTCTGATTGGGGCCATAGGTAGGATAACTCTACTAAGAACTCGGGTAACGCCTGAGTTGGGGGCCTTATATCCCTACTTATGTTTGCCCATCCACCTCCAAGTAACGCACAAAGGACCGAAGGGAAAGAAAGGAACCATCATGCGCTGGTACCGGGTGGACTTCATAGGTTTGAAGGGCTTCAGGCTTCAGGTCCAAAGACGCTTGTCCAGCTAATTGCTGGGTAGACAGTAGGCTTCTAGCTTAGGATGACTCCGAATACTAGACCTTGCTGAATGAGACCCAGTCTATCAGTAGGTGATAGGATTATATAGGGGATATATAGGG